CTGTCTAATTAGATGTAACAAAAAAGAAAAAGATCATAATAATCTTATAGATTTATTTTCCCCAATTTCAATAATCATTCATTGAACATTTACAATTTGAAGCCGGAAAATGAAGACCAATCACCAGCAGCAGATTCCCCTTGACCTCCCATGGCCTTAATCCAAACATGGTCGTTCCTTCTCACCCCAATCACCGCAGTCGAGGACCCGGATGCAAAGTGAGAACTGCCACTCCTGCCATCAGCATGGTTGTGAGCGACAGCCTTACCATTGAGAACGATCTCTGTGTGAAAAAAGCTTCCAGCATGTGCCAGAATATTCCATGAGAAAAAGTATATCCCGTCTTATGGTGCCGTGAATATTCCTGTGAGAGGGTTATAGGCATGCCCTGCGTTCAGACTTGCTGCTTCGAATATAACAACAGCATTTTCTGGAAGGCTCCTTTGGTCTTTTGTTAACTTTGCTTGAAAGGCTACCATTCCTCTGTATGTTAATGTATTTTTTTTTCATTTGTGAACATCTGTATGTACAATGCTATTAAATTTATTTGCACTGTTTATACAATGAGGGTCTGATAATAGCAGTTTCACAGCCTAAAATATGAACTTCTTTACTTGAAGTTATGTTCTATGCTTTATTTTGTAAATTAAGGAGTTAAAGAAAAAAATAAATATTGATATTTTCATATGGATTTCCTGTAACAGAAGAATTAAGTACATATATCATACCTTCATAAAGGCTCCTTTTTGCACGACCAAATAACTGAGTTGATGTTCTTTCCTTTTTAATATCATATTTTTCACTATTTGCAGGGATAACAGCCAGTGCTGCTACACCTAGGAGTGTCGTTTTGAGGCAAAATGGCCTATTCAAAGACGTAAAAAAGATTGGTCATGCATTCCTACAGATATGCTATCAAAATAGTGAAAGAAAGAGATAATGAACAGTATCTCAAAGTCCATTTAAACAATACAAATAGGGAAGAGAGAAAAAATGGACTTTTAAAACAATCAGACGATCAGTGAACTAAGTTTATGTTTTTGCTTACATAGAATCAGATACAAGTAAAATTGGAACAGTTTTGTCGAAAATGTAAATAAAACCTGAAATATAAGACTAGGCTTTCCCTTTTAAATAAAACTAAACTATTGAGAGTTAAACAGATGTTAAATGCACTCAAATACAAATATTAATTTCCATAAAAAAAATTTCAAGAAAGTTAACGTTTTGTCATTTATTTAATCCATGCACAGTTATGCCTAGCAAAAAAATAATAATAATAAACTTTAAGAATTGGGTTTACAATGTTTTCTGAAGATATATATATATATAAATATACATTTTATTGTTGAGCAACTTTGGATTATGGGAATTATTTATATGACTGACATATTCACTAAATTTGGTATTAAAAATAAATGAAAAACACATTTCAAGGGTATTAAAAACAAGACAAGACCAGCCCCAGGATCATGAACCAGATTAAGACTGAAATCTGTAAGACTGTAAAGTGTTTATTAATTATTGAATTAGTCTCTTAATTTGCAGATTAAACATTTTGGGTAAACAATAAAAAAATATTTTGATTTGATTTAGGGGTCCATATATGTAACTTCCGCAACTTAAAAATACAACATTTAAAACAAACAACGTTTTCAGTGAACATGACATTATGAACAGCAATTGTTCTGCTTGCATATTCCATGACGCGCGCTCGCGCATCATCGAAAATATGCCAACAGAGCTTTTGCTATTCATAATGCCAAATTCACTGAATAATAGTTGCTTATTAATTATATTTGCATTCATTGATGTTGTCAAGAATATCAGAGGAAATACTGGCTTTTATTAAATACAGACGCGTCTTGTCGTCTTCAGTAAAGACAAACACACGTCTATAAAATCAAAATCTCTTAATTTTTGTTTTGACGTCATCGATCAACTTTATTGAAACCCTCTGACAAAGATCGATAATTTAACACTATGATGAAAAAAGACAATGATTTAATAATGATTATAACTCCAGAATGCTTTTCTATGATTTCTAGCTCACTTGAGCCCAAGGATCAGGTGAGCTTTTCTGATCAAAATTTGTCCGTTGCCTGTCGCCGTTGTCGTAAACTTTTCACATTTTCATCTTCTTCTCAAGAATCACTGGGCCAATTTCAACCAAACTTGCTACAAAGTATTCTTGAGTAAAGAGGATTCAAGTTTATTCAAATGAAGGGCCACGCCTTTTTCCAAGGGGAGATAATTATGAATTAGAGAAAAAATAATGACATTTTAAAAAATCTTCTTCTCAAGAACCACTGGGCCAGGAAAGACGAAACTCATGTGGAATCATCCTCAGGTAGCGTAGATTAAAATTTGTTCAAATCATGAGCCCTGGGGGTAGGGTGGGGCCAAAATGGCCGATCAAAGTTTTACATAGGAGAATATAGGAAAATCTTTAAAAATCTTCTCCTCAAGACCCACTGGGCCAGGAAAGATGAAACTGATGTGGAATCATTCTCAGGTAGCGTAGATTAAAATTTGTTCAAATCATGAGCCCCGGGAGTAGGGTGGGGCCAAAATGGCCGATCATAGTTTTACGTAGGAATATATAGTGACATCTTTTAAAATCATCAAAGCCATAATTAGTGATATTTATATGGAATCATCCTCAGGTAGTGTAAATTTTAGTTTGTTCAAATAACCCCCAGGGATAGGGTGGGGCCACAATGGGGGATCCAAGTTTTACATTATAAGATATTAAAAAATCTTCTCAAGAATACCAAATCCATGATTAGTGATACTAGTATTTTTATGGAAGCTTTCTCAGGTAGTGTAGAATTAAATTTGTTCAAATCATAACCCCGAAAAGTAGGGTGGGGCCACAATGGTAGATCAAAGTTTTACATGGAAAAATAAAGGGAATATCCGAAGAACAGAAAAGCTGTGTTTAGTCATATTGGCATGTAAACATTCTCATGTATTGAATATTTAAATCTGTTCAAATCATGGACTTTTGGGGTAGGAACTAAGAAGGGAAACGATGGGGAATCAAATTCAAATTATTACGAAGTAATATATAGGAACAAAATGTTTAAAAAAGATATCTTTTCATCAAGAGCAGCAAAGTCATATGCTGTATTGATATGAAGGCATTCTCAAATAGTATTAAAATTCAAGCCTCCCCCCCCCCCATACCTCAGTTAACTTTCAGTTCTGATCTGATATGTGCTTTTTCCTAGCCGATGTGCTCAGGTGAGCGATGTGGCCCATGGATCTTTTGTTTTAAGTTCTTCAATTTATTTGTAGAGCTGAAATCCTTCTTGAACATGTTGAAAAAATTTTACTATTAAAGTAATTTTGTTTTTCTGAATGTTTCTAAAGTGTGTATTGTTTTTCCTCCTCTTTTGTTTTACTACTTGTTTAGCATATGACATTATGAAACGGGCATTTCTATAACTATATTTAATGTAATTGAGATAAAAAAAAACCCAACCCAACTTCTTAAAGCTTCAATTTTCAAAGAAAATAGGAAAATATCAGAAATCTTAACAGAGTAAAAAAAAAACGATTTGTTGAAACTTACATTTCTATGATTGCCAATACCTTTTGTGAAACAATCATATTTCAGTCATTTTTATATGTAGATACACTTCTGTGGTCGTTTATGCTGCGTGTAGGTGGTCATGTTATTGTCCTATTTACCGGCGTATCACTTAGTTTTTGAAAATATTTACATTTATTATCATAAAACAATTTTCTCCACTTCTCTGTATCTGGACGATAAATAATTGCCTTTTCATTTTTTTTTTTACAATATGACTGAAAACTTCTGGCACATCTGCTACTGAGATCAATGAAATATGATTGCTTAATATATAGTTCAGACAAAGTTATAAAACTAGTTTCTAGTGCAAAAATTTAAAAACGCAGTATCGTCCAACTAGTTAGAAAAAGCCAAACTTATCATTTTAAGATCTGGAAAGCCTAGCTTTTTAACTTTAACCCAGACCAATAAATATACGAATAAAGTATATGGTCAACTTTGCCTGAAATTGTCCAATATCACTGTTATTGTTGATTGTGGACAAACTTTCCTTAACATTCCTACTAGTCACCCTTAAATCTTTCATTCCAGTTCTCTTGTAGATAAATTTTTTATCCCAAACATTATAAAAATCCATACAAACAAAGACACGTAGCGGGCTATAGTAAATGCTTAACCAAGCCACTTTCTTTACTCCTTACTAAGATATTAACAGTAGTCAAGGAGGAACTTCAAGAGTACTGTGAAACAATATATATACGAGAAGTTGCGTAAATCAGATGTGGATACTGAAAAATTTCAAGGAACTTTAGAAAATTTGAAATACCGAGATTTTACCAGAATCAACAGCTTAAAAAATCTCACTCCTCAAATTTATACACAATCATTACCCAAGATAAATTAAAGTCCAGGCTTTCTGATATCATTTACAACTATTTTTTTTTTAATAAAATGAAACTCGTAAATTTACTTACCTTCTCATTGATCATTTACAAATTTAATATGTTAAAAACATGATTCTGATTGTACACACAAATACTCTAAGGTTGAAATTAAAAAAAGATGAGTAAGTATCTGATTGACGATATCTATGTGGATTTTGGAGACCGGGTCTTCCAACACTCTATTGGAATTCCCATGGGTACCAATTGTACCCGTTATTAGCAGACATATTTTTGTATTCATATGAAGCAGAATTCGTACAAAATCTTATGCGTGAAAAGAAGAAAGTATTTGTTGTGGCCTTCAACTCGACATTTAGATACATGTACGAGGGTTGTTCGATATGTATTGTGTATTGTACCACAGCGCGATAACGCCTTGCACGATTTCGTCGATATTTATACGCCTGGATAACTCTATTCAATACCTTGCCAACAGTATAAACATGAGCCTTCATCTACACATGGTTATAAAATAATCGTCATTTCAATAGAGCCAGTCGTTGACCAGTGTTGTAAAAATGGTTAAGAAAAGGGTTGAGAATACTGAAGAAATTAGAGCTTATATAAAAGTTCGCACAAAACTCGGTAATTCCGTAAAGCAGATTTTTACTGAATTGGGGGAAGTTTATGGGTCTGATAAGGTATCTTATGAGACAGTTCGTAGGTGGAGACAGAAATTTCTGACTGGCACAGAGTCCGTCAAAGATGCATCAAAATCGGGTCGACCTGTGACTGTAGCAAGCAAGACAAATGTCTCAAAAGTCAAGGAAATAATTGAAAGTGATGGCAGGTACACGATTCGTGATATTGCCAAAGCTGTTGGCATATCGCTATCGCGGGTGCATTTCATTTTGAAGCGTATTTTGAAAGTACGAGAGATTTCTGCCAGATGGATACCCCATATATTGACAGATGACCAAAAAAAGTACGAATACAAACCGCTAAGCGACTGCTAAAAATGTTTCCAAACTTCAATTTGCAAACATAGTTACTGGTGACGAAACATGGGTTTACTATTTCGAACCAGTAAGAAAAGTTGGAAACAAATTATGGCTAACCAAACACGGTAGAAGGCCTGTAGTTGCCAAAAGGACAATGAGCACAAAGAAGGTCCTTTATTGCATATTCTTCTCTTGTGATGGTTTAGCCGTACAAATTCGAAGGGCAAAAGTGTTACAGGTCGGTATTACCGAGATGTTGTACTGAAAAAGCTCAAGAAATATTATCAGAAATGACGTCCTGTGTCGGGATTAGGCATGTTCGCCTTCTTCATGATAATGCTCCATCACATACATGTACATCTGAGCTTGTGAAGGAATTTTTGAAGTCTGAGAAGGTTAACGTCTTGCCACACCCACCATACTCTCCGGATCTAGCACCATGCGACTTTTTCCTTTTTCCAAAACTTAAAAAGTTCTTATCTGGTCGTCGATACAAGTCCCGACAGGCCCTTGGCTCAGCCGTCAGTCAGTGCCTCAGAGGTATACCTAAATCAGCGTACCGTGACGCATTTCAGAAATGGATTCAGAGATTAAAATTGTGTATTTCAAATCACGGAGAATTCTTTGAAAGGATGTAATGTCCATTTGACTATTTGAATCGAATGCTTTTGAGATATCGTACAATACACAATACATATCGAACAACCCTCGTATATCGAAGACGTATTGTCAATTAACAATTGTAATTTCCATTCTTATGTTCATACGATATATCCTGATGAGCTTGATATAAAAGATACAACAGAGTCTGACACATCCGTTTCATATACGAATAGCTTACTTGAAAAGACGTTATTGCTAGTCTAACACCAAGCTCTATGATAAACGTGATGACTTTAACTTTTCTATCGTTGACTTCCCTTACTTATGCAGCAATAAACCTTTATCACCTGCATACTGAGTTTATGTATCTCAGTTGATTCGATATGCAAGAGCATGCTCTACGTAGGAACAATTTCTAAAACGAGGTGAATTATTGACAAACAAATTGATGAAACAAGAATATCAGCAGTATCGTTTAAAGTCATAATTCCGTATGTTCTATGGTGGATACAATGACATTGTCGTCAGCTAATGCAATGTATTATTGAGTCAAATGCTTGTTGTTAGTCAATTATTTATACACCGAATTGACGACTGATTTTTCTGTTATTTTCCGATCACAACAAAGAACACAAGGCGGATGTTACCGGTCAGCAGGGGATGTTCACTCCTCCAGGGCATCTGATCCCAGCTCTGATGTTTTTGAGATCCGTGTTTTCTCTGCTCTCTATTTTGTTTTATTGACTTTTGATCTTGAATACTAGTTATTATCTAAATATGTTTCATTCTAGGATGTAAGCGCTAAGGAACATAATATTTACATCTCTCTTTTTCAATGTCATAAATTTATGTCAGTAAAGTACCAAATTTTGCAACCATTTTTAAACTTTTAAATCATAATATTAATGAAAATCATTGAGATAAAGAGGAAGATGGCGAACTTGGATCCATCTCAACAAGATACAAACAATAGAAATTTGTATCTCCTTGAAATTCCAAAGACAAGATCAGGCACCTAGGAAGAGTAAGCATTTCCCTATTGATTGGTCACATCCATCATTAATCTTATGTATGATTCAGATATATGGAGCACGCAAGTGAGTTTAGGCTAAATATGGATATTTCTATGCAAATGAGCTAATAAAAATTCATAAGTTGTATATTTTATGTACAGACAAAGTTCAAATTGATTTTTTTATACATACTTAGTATCCACAGTTTATTAATGCAAGTGCACATGATGACGTCATATTATGACGTCATTGTTCTCTCCCATTCAATGTTATAAATCACATCATCAAAATCACGTCGGCGCAAGGGCATATCCTATCTAATTAAAAATAAACAATGTTTAATATTAAGGAGAATATTATTAAAATTAGTAAAATTGCTGCACAAGTCCTATGCACTTTCTCAATCGATAAAAAATTTAGGAAACTTACACTGGACTGTGAATTTTTACCCCGTTTAGAATTAAAACTGCACTAACAGTAACTAAACAATTGCAGTGCCGACAATTGTGCAGCAATATCTTAAATCCTTGGAATATCCTGCGTCTTTTTATAATTTGCTTCTGTAAAACAAAGTAAGGTATGCCCTTGCACCGAAGCGATTTTGTTGATGTTTCTTATAAACTTGTGTAGTAGAGGTCGATGACGTCATAATATGACGTCATAATGTGTACCGGCTATTGCATGTTTTAGGTACAAAGAATGTATTTATAACAAGTCTTAAAATTTTCTGAGCAGTAGGTAGAGCAATTATGGAATTTAATTAGACATTTTGCATAGAAACCTCCATATGTAGCCTTAAATCATTTGCGCATATCGTAGTCAAAATCAGAATGAAAATTAACATAAAAATCTGTTTGGATATGTCAACAAAAATTGTCGCAATGACAGGTTACTTTGCCAACAAGATAGCTATATAACAAGGAACGAAGAGTTTACAGATTGCTGACATTAAACCAGATGTTTCATTTAAATGTTTTTGATGAAAAGTGTAGTTGCTGCACTATAAAACTTATGATGATATATGATTACATATATATGAAATATATATGAGATAATGATAAGTATTCAAACCCAAAAGTCCAAAAGTCCATAAAACAATACAAAACAGGAGCAGAGCAAACACGGACCTAAAAAAAATGTAGAGGTGGGATCAGGTGCCAGGGAGTAGTGAACATCCTATCCGACCGGCTACACCCGCCATGTGCTTCTTGTCATGATCGGAAAATAACTGAAAATCAGTCGTCATTTCAGTATATAAATAATGGCCTAACAATTAGTATGAAAAAACGTCAGTCAGCATTTCACTCAATGATAAACTGTATTTGCTGATAATGTCATTGTATCGACCATAAAACTTACGAAATGATGTATTTAAACGAGACTGAAAGTTAAGGTCATCCAGTTTAGCATAGAGCTTGGTTGTTAGATTATAATTCAAGTAAAATACAGCTTGCTCCACTTATATTGAACTCGCTTAATTTGAAATTCCGCTTATTTTGAAATAAAAATAAATCCCCCGTTTTTGCCTTTCATATTCTTTGCATTAAAATAACGGTTATATTGAAATCGGCTTTATTGAAATATCGCTTATATTTGAAGCCACTGATCGGTCCCCATAGGTGATAATGAGTTGTTTTCATAACGTTTATAGTGAAGTACTCCCTGGCGGCTGTCGTTACGGTTGGTGACAGTAATTATGCCTGATTGACCAGTTGATATACAAAGGTGTGAATAATGAAGTTTTCACCTAATGTGTTTTTATACTGCGTGCTCTTACGAAATAAAATTCTTCACTGTTAAATTCTTTGCATCCACGTATATAATACGGACATATCGAGACTAAACAGCTAGATCTAAACGTAATATAGTAACCCCCACAGATCTAGAAAAAAAAACATAACTTTGAAATTAAATACATACTGTTTATGGCTACTGATATCCCTAAATTCGAAATAACTAAGGTATTAACTCGAGTACACTTATGCCTAGGTCACATTTCCCGGCCGGTAACCGTAGACCGGTGGTAATCGGTAGTAATCCGTGGTGTTAACGATGCCCCAACATCGGTCCACATCGGCCTAGTAGTCCTTAAAGTATCAGTCACATTATCCAGCGATGTGCATACGATGGGCAACCAATGCGTTTTATGAGAAAAATGGCGTGGTTGCCGGCCGGACTTACAAAGGCCCAGCGATGCATTGCTAATCATAAAACAATGTTCCAGGATAATCGGCCGATGTATATTTCATCGCTCATACATTGGTAAACATCGTTCGTACATCGGTCGAATACGGGCCAATGTTCGGTCGAACATCGACCGATGATCGGTCATTATCTGTTGAACACCGCTAAACTCCCCGATGACCTCAGATTCAACGGATATTGGACGATTGCTCGGCCATACATCGGCCGATCCTTGAAAGATGTGTTAATGATGGGTTGCCGATGAGGAGCGATGTGAGGCATCGTTGGAGACATCGCTGAATTTTAACTACGAATTATTTCCTACCGATGACCCCACCGATTCGCAAAAAAGACTCAGTCACCGTCCGATCACTAGTGGTGCCCGGCCGGCAACCACGCCATTTTCATCAAAAAACGCATCGGTTTCTCATCGTATACCCCATCGTTGGATAATGTGACTTATACTTTACGATGAAATACAAGCAGCGTTCATCAGTACTCAACCGTGTAAGTCCGGTGAATTTTCTCCAAAGTGTAAATAAATGCGATCGGGGAATAATAATAAGGTTGAAGATTGTCTTTTCAATGAAACAGAAATAAAAAAAAAATAAATAAACCTTCAAGGACTCTTATTCTATGTAATCTATTCACAGTTATAGATAAACGATGACAAAATTAATTTGTTCGGGTTTGTTCTTCTTTATTTTAGATCGGGATTGAACTTATAAAAATGGCGGCTTCATGAATTCACTTATATTGAATTACGGATATATTGAAAAAATTTGCATGGTCCCCTGAATTTCAATATATCTGGAGTAGGCTGAAACAATACATTGTTGGAAAACATGGTCTAAAAATAAATATTAACAAGGTTTATACATATATAAACATAGTAAAATATAAAACTAGTGAATTTATTCTTATTATATTTACTCTTTCTTTCCATTCCCTTTGACACCAATTTTGTTTAAATTATTGCTGTTTTTTACTATATTATCTAACATTTCTTTTATTCATATATTGAAGTAAATAAAGTCGTTTTACTTATATGAGGCTAAGCGAGTCCTTTTTCTGCTATGCACACACGCACACTACACACATAAACAGAGAAAAGAGACTATTAATTAACATGATCATTTTACATAGCATCTGCACTGTTTAGGTAAATATTTTAAAATCTTCCAATTTTTCGTGCTCATCCAATCAGCAGAGCTA